ATTTCCAAAAAATATTTCTTTCTCTGGGGGGAGGGCTGACTTTCCACAATATGATAGAACAAACAAATGGGGATTGACAGATATTAATCTGTAAATAATGAGAACAGGCAAAGAACATATGATTCCCCTCAGAGTCCCTCTGCGAGGGAGATAGGCAGTGCTTAAATATGACAAATAAATTACTTTGGAACTGAGTTTGAAAAATAATATTGTGTAATTTGTGAGATGAGAAAGATAATTAATCCCAAATGAAATACATGGCTTCAAAAGGCAGCTCAATCATTTCAGGGGGCTAGATAAACAGGTCTGTTGCCTCAAGCACCAGTATCTGAGCAAAGAATACTTTTTTGGGTCCATGTATGTTGGTTCTTTCTGAGTATTTAAATTTTTTATAAGTTTATCAAAATGTAAAATATAAAGAAAAATGAAAATAATTTCAAAGTAAGGGAGGAAAAGGGGAAGAAGAAAAAGTGTAGAGGAAGAGGGGAAAATGAAAGAAAAGCATTGACTTTCTACTCTTTTTAGTGCAGTAAAACAAGGAAATAACATGCTACCTCAACTTTTTGCTTTTACATAATAATACGTACTAGCCATTTCTGCAACAACAAAGCTATCTAATCAACAAAATCCAAACTCAAAATTTCATTTTTTCCCCACTTCAATCACAAAGTCCAAAAGCAATTTCCAAGTAGAAACAAAGTTAGCTGTATTCTTTTCTTTAATTAAAACAGTCAGTTTAGCCATCTCTGCTAATTCCATCAGCTTTTGCAGTCAATCATCCATTGTGGGAATTAAAGCATCTTTCCATTTTTGTGCATAGAGCATTTTTGCTGCAGTGTGTTGGTTCTTTCCAAGAAAAGGACAACTTTCACAAAGTGAAACTTTACTGAAAGGTATCAGAGTAGAGTGGGTTCTGGAAATAAAAAAATATGAATGGACTTGCTAGCCATTCTGTTCAAAAATCCTTTGCCTTTCCATCTGGCATGAAGGACAACTGAATAACCAGTGAAGGTTGGAGGAAAGCAGTAGATTTGACTGAAACCCAAATTCTAAGTCTGAACAGATTTTCATTTAGCCACATTAGGGCAGATGGCTTGAACTTGCACCATTCTGAAGGCGGGCTTTCATGAAATTATGCTCCCAATCTGTTTCTCTGTAGCTGTGGCACATTGCAGATAGCATTAACGCAATATCTGCAACAGAAAAAGGAAGCAGATTGTTATCTCATAAAAATGTCATACCAGGGAAAGGAAAGAAGGGAAACATTGTATTATTTGATTTACAGGTCCTCCTTCACATCTGAGATTCCAATACCATTCATGGAGAGATCTTGGAAGAAAGATACATTTCACCTTCAATCTTTCATGAGTGTTACTGTGAAAAAAAATGTGATTTGTGTTAGCTAAATGATTAGTTCAATGATTGGTTTATTGTATAGAAAAGAGTCAGTCTGAAATACTGACATAAACATATCGAAGAGAAAGTGGTCTAGACAAAAACTCTGCAAGTCCAAAAATGTGTTGAAATTATATTATTTGAATAAAATAATGTCTCACTGATATGAAGTGTTTCACTGTGGTCACTGTAGCCAAAAGTAATGCAAACAGGTACTGAATCTCAAGGTGCTTTTCCTGGCTGTCATCATTCCTAATAGCAATCTTGAATCCTGCAGATAGAAGAGAGAACAGAAATAATTTTAAAATGTTGGTTTAAAATTGGTTACAGCAGATAGGATATTCCTGTACAAGGTGAGAGAATGCCATTGCAAAGAGAGTACATGCACTTTATGATTCTTTTACTAAAAAACTTGTTGCCAAACTTACTGCTGCCAGCCTACTTTTTGGAAAGCTTAAAAAAAGTGGGATAGACAGCATCACCATCAGATGGATTTTTTTTATAACAAGTTTTATTAATTTTTCAATTTTTACATCCAGGTATTTAGGAAGCAGCGTGGTGATAGGGTAATCAATAGTCCAATAACAAAATCATTTGTGCATATCTCAGGTTACATCATTAAAGGTTCCCTCTCTATTTCCCTTAATTATTATATCATATTCAAGTTAATACATTTCTAGATATAACTAATCAATCAATACATTTATCAATATAAATTTACATATACATATCCAAGTCCTGTTTTTAAGTTTTGTTGTTGTTAATTGCGAAGTCGTGTCCGACCCATCGCGACCCCATGGACAACGTTCCTCCAGGTCTTCCTGTCCTCTACCATCTTCTGGAGTCCATTTAAGTTCACGCCTACTGCTTCAGTGACTCCATCCAGCCACCCTCATTTCATTACAAAATAATTATCATGTCTAGAATACACATATTGTTCAGAAAGTTACATTCTTACTTTGTTTCACAAGTATATTCTATTTCTCGTCCTAGTAGCTCATTTACTAATAAAATATCTTTCATTATCACAAACCCATTTCCATGTTACAATTCAAAACTATAATCTAATAGTTAATTTTCATTTCCTTTATAAATCTAGGTCCTAACTATTAAATCAATCAATATCTCTAAAAATCTCCTTAACCCATTAAGTAAAATTTTAAGCTATTCCATCATCAGTCAACGAAAAAGAAAAAAAGGAGAAAGTCCCATTTTTAAATCTAACTCTGGCTTTCTTTTTGTGCCAAGCAGGCTTTCATACCAGTGCCTTTAAATCCTCAGATGAGTCTCCCTTCATTCCTACACGTGTTGTTTGAATCAAGGGAGAACATCCAATTATCAATTTTTCAAAGGAATTGGCCCCTTTGTAGTTATTAGGTTGTTGCCCTAGTAATTCAAATCTCCATGTTAGGTTTGGGATATTTATCATCAGTTCAGTCTGGTCTTCTTCTTTTTCTTCCAGTTTCGTCTGGCTAGAACAGGGGTAGGCAACCTTGGCTCTTTTATGACTCATGGACTTCAACTCCCAGAATTCCTGAGCCAGACTTGACTCTGGGAGTTGAAGTCCATAAGTCATAAAAGAGCCAAGGTTGCCTACCCATGAGCTAGAATAAAAGGTCATATCCGGAGTTGTAATTGTTATTTTATTGTCTAGATTGTCTAAGTTCTCAATATATTGTGTTTGTTGATCAGTTTCTGTTGCTTTTGGAGTTACAGGTACTTTAGTTGAAATCAATGTTTGATTATCAAAGTTCTCAGTAAGTTGTGCGTGTTGTTATGTAGAATCTTCTTTGATGTTAATTTGTTCCTCTTCTGTTGTTTTTTGGCTTGTAAGTTCATCAGTTGGAGTTTGAGGTTCAATTTGTAGTTTTGGGGTGACATCTTTGGCTTTCACTCTGGAGTTCATTAGCTCAGTGGCTTTAAGGATTTTTTCGAGTATAAGTTTGTAGTTAAGTTGTGGGTAAGGTTCCTCCATTTCTATGGTGATTAGAGATAGTCTTTTGGTGGAGCTATGTTTAGTAAGAGTCAGCCAATATCCATCTCCACTATTCCTAGAAGTTGTTTTCACCACCCAGCTGTTTCCAGTTCTTATCTTTTTTAGATAATGTAAAGGGCAAATCTAGGGAGTCAACAGGCCTCACAGTCAAAGAAATTCAGTTGCTGTACCAGGCTTTGCCACAAGATGTCCCCAGTAGGCTATGAAATCTTTTTCCAGACACCAATTAGGCTTTTATCCAGTTAAAAAGAAAGAAAAAAATATTTTTTCCAACTTAACAGATAGATAAGATGATAGGTCTCTATAATAAGAACCTTTTGGGACCCCAAAATATCCAAAAAATAAAAATCCAGTTATTTAGTTGTTGAGATTAGTTATTCTTTTCTTTTCTTTTCAAAGCTTAATTTCCCAGAGTAGGCAGACGCCGCTGTATTAAAAGTGGGGAAGAAATTTCAGGAGGCTTTCACAGGAAGGTAGTTAGAGTGAAAGAAAGGTAAGGAAAGGTCTCACCCAAATCCTCCGCGGTGCTTCGTTGTGCTTGGTGGTAATTTTGGCTTTTGGCTGGCACGGCTTAGTGATCGGCCATATTGATGGCCGATCTTTTCTCCGACAGTCCAAAGGAGCTGTCTTGGATCAAATGGAAGGGCTGCCGCCCTTCTGCAATCTGTCGAGGGTCCTCCTCATGGTCGTCACCCCTCCAAGGCGACTTACGACTCTATTCAGGGTTGCCTGACGAAGGGAAACCAGGCGGCGGAAAGAACATTCTCTCTGAACGTCCGCCAGCGCCGCGATTTGGAACTGGAAGCCACCATCAGATGGATTTTTAACTGGCTGACAAATCGCACTCTCAAAGAGTAGTCCTTAATGGTACTATGTCCACATGGAGGGAAGTAAGCAGTGGGGTACCACAAGGTTCTGTCCTAGGCCCAGTACTCTTCAACATCTTCATAAATGATCTAGATGAGGGAATAGAAGGAGAACTCATCAAATTTGAAGATGACACTAAGCTGGCAGGAATAGCCAATACGCTCAAGATCCAGAGGGATCTTGACAGACTTGAACACTGGGCCCTATCTAACAAAATGAAATTCAACGTAGAAAAAGGTAAAGTCTTATACTTAGGCAAGAAAAACCAAAAGTACACATATAGATTGGGTGAAACCAGGCTTAATAGCAGCAACTGTGAGAGGGATCTTGGAGTTTTAGTGGACAATCAATTAAATATGAGCCAACAGTGTGCGGCAGCAGCCAAAAAAGCCAATGCAATCCTGTTGCATTAATAGAGGGGTTCAACCAAGATAATGTTAGGTACTAATACCACTCTATAAAGCCTTAGTAAGATCACACCTACTGTAGAATACTGCAACCAATTTTGGTGTCCACACTATAAAAAAGATGTTGAGACTCTAGAAAAAGTCCAGAGAAGAGCAATAAAGATGATTAGGGGACTGGAGGCTAAAACATATGAAGAACGGTTACAGGAAATGGACATGGCTAGTCTAGTGAAGAGAAGGACCAAGGGAGACATGATAGCAGTGTTCCAATATTTGAGGGGCTGTCACAGAGAGGAGGGGGTCAACATATTTTCCAAAGCACCTGAAGGCCAGACAAGGAATAACAGATGGAAACTGATCAAGGAGAGATTCAACCTAGAAATAAGGAGAAATTTTCTGACAGTGAGAACAATCAACCAATGGAACAGACTGTCTTCAGATATTGTTGGTGCTTCATCACTGGAGGCTTTCAAGAAGAGACTGGACTGCCACCTTTCAGAAATGGTGTAGGGACTCCTGCTTGGGTAGAGGGTTGGACTAGATGACCTACAAGGTCTCTTCCTATTCTGTTATTCTATTCTATTCTAAAACTGATCTGATTCAGTTAATCTATGATAATTGAGTAAGCACTATAAATATGCTATTTCACTAAGTTGCTGTCTTCTGCATACTTGCTTGGAATGTCCCTTTTGAACTTTTGATCAAAAAAACATGCTGTTGACTATGTGGGTATAATATTATCTTCATCTATATTTATTTTTCTCCTTCCAATTTCTTATAATATGTATTTTCAGGTAGTTGAAAAGAACAAGCTGATACTGGCTCGGAGAATGTATGACAGTGAAAAGGCTTGGATCAAAGGGATGAGGCACTTCCTAATGCTATTGGCGTCTCAGGTATAGCCACTTGAGGATGCATTATCCATTAATGGGGGAAATGATGTAACTTATGATGAATCAAATATAATTAAACTTCATGAATAAAGTCTTTCTGTTTGTTAGCTTCCTTGTCCTACACTCAGTTTCCTGATTAGAGCAGCATACACATCTGAATAAATAAGACTTACATCAACATGCATATTGGCTTTTGCATGCAGCTTTTGACAGCTCCATAGGTGGTATACCCTCTACTCTCTGTTAGGAATATCCCTATTTATTTACTATAAAATGCCATTTGATGAGATCGGGATAGTGAACCAGTGGTACCAACTTTATTGTGCTTATGCTCTCCAATCTATATAGCTTATTGTACTAGAAGAAAATGGTAGTGTATATTCAGCACCTTTCAGTAGTACAGTATTAACTGGTGAAAATTCAAACATTAGAAAGGGGAAAGCAACTTGCATTTTTGTCTCTCTGATACCAAAAAATAACTAAATTTGGTGAAACCACATCAAACTATCTGCATTGTAAGCCAATCGAGATAATCACTTCTAGCATAATATCAGAGTAGATAAATGAATCAAATATTATTTAAGGGTTAAATAATAAATATCAATACATATAAAGTGCTACTGTGACTTGTATACATCTAGTATCTAATATCTGTAGACTAGAAAATGTTTCAGTTGCTGGGTAGTCCAATTAATATTATTTCTTAACACTCATTTTATTTTGCTCAAGCAACCTTTTTCTTGATATGTCACCTCACATTGCATAGATAAATTACATAATAAAATGGCAGAATAGCTAGAAATCGAAGACTGGTGATAATGATTGTTTGTCCATATTTGAGCTATTATGAGCCAAAATTCTGTCCAATTTACTCTATGATCACAGTGGGATGAACTGTGAGATTATGAAGATTTTGAAGTGGCTTTTAAGTTGAGGGACACCAAATCAAATCAAATCAATAATACATAAATAAATAATCTGTTCACAATGTAGTTGTAAATCATAAAAATGGCTTTTTAAATGATTGCTTTGACATTTATGGCTTAATAATATGATTTTCTCATGATACTCTTTCTCTTCTTTTCTTCCAACATACTTAGGATTCTATTGATCTTTCTAATCTACAGCATTGGACACAGGAATTCCGGGAGCTTTTGAGAGATATTGATGTACAGGTGGAGCAGGTTGAAGAAACTACAAGAGAAAGGGCAAAAAGTATTCAGAATGGTTTGACGGGTTGGCTCAATTACTTCCAAAATCATATTCTGTGAGTTTGATCAATGTTTCTTTCATTCTTTGCTTTATGGCCTGACAATTATAATTCCAATCTTTAAGAAGGGAAAGAGAGATGAGAGATTAGCCTGCCCAACATAATCAGCAAACCTCATGCTAAGAACTTCCACAATAAACTTAAGGATTGGCAGGATCGGGGAAATATGATAGTGGAAGAGCAGATTGATTTTAGAGAAAGTGGAGACAAGTGCGGTAGACCAAACATCAATTATTGGTCTACTGCATTTGTTCAAAAAAAAATAATTCAACCAACAGTGTGTTATCATTTCATGCTGCCTTCATGGATCTTAAGGCAACTTTTGATTCTGCTTCCAGGGCCAAATTATGGGAGAAGCAGAAAGCCCTATCATTTGACCATAGGCTTTTCCATTGATGCCCTACACACCAATACCACTCTTAAAGACAAGTGCACTACACAAAGATTTCTCTCAAAGCCATTTAAAACTCAAAAGGAGGTAAAACAGGGATTTATTTCCCCTCCTTCGTTTCAATGATATGGTGAGATGTCCTAAACAATCTAAATTTCATCCTCCCTGAACTAGGGGATCTCTGCACTGTCCTGCTGTTCTGTATAGACAACGCTGAGTTCTTTCCAGAACAAAAGTAAGCCCTAAAAGAGCTCTGCGAATGTTGATCCATTGCTGCCGAAAACCAAGATGATGGCTTTTGCCAAAAGGCTGAAGTTCCATATTTATTAATGGAAGCATTAATGGCCTTAAAATAGAACAAGCTTTAAATATTTAGGAATAGTCATACATGCCACTGGCTCAAGGAAAGCCCACTGTGAATATGCTAGAGTTATTGGACGAAGATCTGCCAATGCCATTGTTACATTTTTTTCAGTCCAAGAATGGATATTATGTTCCAGCCACACTTAAACTATTTCAGACTATGGTATTAGCCCAGCTCTTTTATGGGACTCTGGTTGCCCCCCTCCCCAGCTTCATGTTTCACCTCCATGGAGAGGGTATTATCCAAATTCATCAGAGCAACTCTGCAGATAATTCTCTGTGATATACACTGGGTATCAAACATACATCTACGACTAAAGACAGGTATGAGAAAAATTGAATCAAGAGTGTGTGTAGCATCTATAAGCCTTTGGTTGAAGCTTAATTTCTATCCTCTAGGTTTAGCACCATTATTCTTTAGTAATTTTCAATCCACATAGATCAAGCCTGTTGAATCTACTCTTTTAAATCTAGCTTACAATTGTGAAGCAAAGGATAAAAGATACGGGGTGGCAAACCAATCTAGAGAAGGCTCCAAACTTCCTGTCATCAGTGCATACCAGATATATTGTTACTGCTGCCTGCCACATACATTGTGTGACTCACAGAGGTTTACAATAGCAAAGTATTAAAAACTAAATTGTAACAAAATCCATACAACAAAGTAATAGTATGAATAATTAAAGTAAATGACAAGAACCATCACAAATACCCAGTGGCATTAACCCGACATTGAGCAATGTTAACTTTTGAAAGCCCCATGTATTAATTCTATCCTGACTGCTATAACCAAAGAATGTGAGAATTGGTGCCAGACCAATTGAGAGAAATTATTTCAAAATGTGGACGGCATTCCCTGTAAAAAATATTACTTTCAGGAACCGATGGATCTTACATTTTGTACTTGGGGAGACTCAGCTTCCTCATCTTGGGTGAGCATTCTGGACAGGTTAGTTTTGCCTGGAAGAGACATTTCTGCATAAGCCAAGATGTATAGATGTTTATCAACTAAAGTTTCTAAGCGGTTTTGAAGTTAACACCATGTGGAGCACATTGTAATATTCTGTCCAAATAATGCTAAAACTATGAGTTATCCCTAATAGGAGCTCCTTCTCCAGATATGAAAATGCTCCCTGTTCATCAAATGTATGTACGTGTGACTGGTGCAGGTGTAAGAGAGATTAGGGTAGCCATGCTTCCTTTGACTTCTAGACATGAACACTGTTTACATAAAACCCAAAGGAATTTGAGTTGAAGGTGTTGATGAAATTTGTCAGCCTTTATACTAGAACTTTTAAGATGTGAGGAATTCAAGTCCCAGAATTCTGTCAGCTTTGCTTTGCTGACTGGAAAATTCTGAAAGTTGAAGTCCATACATCTTAACATTGCCAAAGTTGAGAAACCTTGAACTATAAACTACCAAATGCACTTTGGTAGTTACTAAGTGAAACTGCTACTGTACTTATGATCTTACTTCAGCTTTGTTTTGCTTTCAGACCTGTGAAGATTGTAAATGCAAGGATTGGTCACAAAGTTATATCACCATTGTAACTGCAAATGATCACTAAATGAGGAATATGTGTAGTTAAATAAACCATGATTCAGTTAACTACTGTGAAGTGAGCAATGTAAATACAATGCAGATGCATGAAGGTTTAGATACATTTCAGAGTGATTTGTATTTTTGGCCACACATTTCCAACTTTCTATTCTTGCTTTTCCAGTGGAAAAGGAACTTATAGTTTTGAAAAGGGAGCTATTTTGCTAGAACAAATCCTTGTGGATCTCAAGGTTTGGGAAAAGGTAAGGATCTTCTTCATGTATTTATTTATAGGTTTCCCCTTAAGCAGGACTGCAATAAACAGAATCCCATTTATTAAAACTATTCCCTTCCGCAATGAGCTGCAGTGAGCCTGAGTAGTGAGGACAATCTCTAGGATTCAACTCAAAAATGAGTTATTGTATTTTCATTGGTCAGGTCTCATAGCCCTTCAACTTTTCTCTGCCTTTCCACTCCTGGGGTTGCTTTATTTTAGATATCAACAATGGAAGGTTGCATTTTAATGAGGATTAGGTATCTAGCAGATATTGGGTGCCTCCTACAACAAAAGAGGAAAACAATTGTCTAATTGGAGTAAGCGCAGAAAGTTCTTTATCTCACAATTTGCAAGAGTAAGTAGGAAAAGTGAGCTTGTCTAAGCAGCTTCTCTTCAACTATGAATTTAAAAAATGTAGTTCAATCACAGGACAACCATAGAGTTAAAAGTGTACCATATGATAGCTAATACTAAGCTATCCTAAGATTATCAATTCAGGGAAGGAGAAAGCTAGTATTTTTTTTTAATGGAAAATCTTTCAGGCAACAAACACATTTATTGCTTTTTCTTTCAGATGTTAAATGATGAATTGACTCAGTATGGGGGTGATGTGCTTCTTTTGAGACAAGATCCCCTCAAGACAGCAACCAAATTGCAGAAGCAGTGGGTTGATCTGGGAGTTGCTTTGCATGGCCGTCACAAAGATCACCATGGCAGGAGGCCAGTTGAGTCACAAATGCTGGAAGAAATCAATAAAAACTGCCATCGTCTCAATGAACAGTACTGTACAAGGGTTAATGGGGAAAATGGTAAGAAATGGTCAGTATTTGTTAAAAGACTTTTTCAGAGATCAATACATTGTGCAGATAAGGATTTATTTAAAATTAAATCTAAAGATCAATATATAGCACAATTGACATGTAAAACCTTTTGAGTAAAACAGACACAAAGCCATATTAAAAAAAACATTTGTGGCAATAGATGTTGGTTTTTATGGAAAACAAAGATTGGATTGTTAGTTCATATCCACTTGCTTGTTTGAAAAATATCCTCCAGGAAAAGCTAATTATTGCTAAGAGTGTGTTGTTTCATGCCTTTTTTGTCATTTCCTTGATTCATCCAAAAGAATATAACTAACTGTACAACTGAAGTTTAAAAATATGATAAACTTGATGAATCTGGCTGTTATGAGAGACAAAATATATTTAACCCAGGACTTGGGTTTGGCTAGTCTAAAGAAAAGAAGAAATAGGGGAGACATGATAGCAGTATTCCAGTATTTGAGGGGCTGCCACAAAGAAGAGGGGGGTCACATTATTTTCCAAAGCACCAGAGGGAAGTATGAGAAACAATGATTGGAAACTGATCAAAGAAAGAATCAACCTGGAATTAAGAAGAAACTTCCTGACAGTGAGGACAATTAACCAGTGGAACAGCTTGCCTCCAGAAATCGTGGGCGCTCCATCACTGGAGATTTTTAAGAAGAGACTAGACAGTCACTTGTCTGAAATGGTATAGGTTCTCCTTGAGCAGGAGGCTGGACTAGAAGACCTCCAAAGTCCCTTCCAGCTCTATTCTATTCTAAAGTTTTTTAGGAGTTAATTGCCTCTGTCCTGCTCCATTTCTTTATAGAGGTAAAGATATAATTTCTTTTCTACAGGATCTGCCAAAATCGTAATAACTTTAGTGAACAGTTTGGAAGAGTGGACATTCAAATTGTTATCCAGCAAGCAGAAGAAGGGATTATATGAAGCTGACTGGTTAAATTTTTTCCAAGCTGTTTCTGATTGGCTGGTCCAGTTGGAAGATCTGCTGAAAATTACTGGTACTTCTGAGTCTCTACAAGAACAAAAGCTTAGGACATTTGCATCTTGCCAGTAAGCTACCATAATTTTTAGTTTTTCTTCTCTTAGAGCATTTTTGTGACTGGTTGAATGTATTATTTCATATTTTGATACACATTTTATATGTTGTTTCTGTGAATTTTATGCACTATGCTGCATAAAATTCTGTAAATTTTATGCACTATGCTGCATAAGAAGAGCTGTGATGGTGCAATGGTTAGAATGCAGTATTGCAGGCTAATTCTGCTGACTGCCAGAGTTTAATTTACACAGGCTCAAGGTTGACTCAGCCTTCCATCCTTCCAAGGTCAGTAAAATGAGGACCCAGATTGTTGGGGGCAATATACTGACTCTGTAAACTGCTTAGAGAGGACTGTAAAGCACTGTGAAGCGGTATATAAGTCTAAGTGCTATTGCTATTTTCCTACACCATACGAAATAATAAAGACTTTATGCTTCGATTATTACAATATATTTTTTGTCAAGCAACTCTTGAAAATGTTCCAGAAATTGCAGATAAAGTGCAATGGAAATATAAGCGAGGTCTATGAGAGTGGAAGCTGGAAAGTAATCTGAGGTTAAGTCATGAAAGACATTATGGTCTTTATGGTATATAATGCCTTTCATGACTTAACCTCAGATTACTTTCCAGCTTCCACTCTCATAGACTCAACCACACGCATACATCCATACCCTTAGAGAGCTTTTAAGCGGGACACCTTTTATGAATCAGTTCATAGATACTTTAATTTCAATAGATAATTTTTGTTGTTCCATAGTGGGACTACACTGTAGGGACTATATACTATTGCTATCAGAGCTAAGTATCTCCGTCCTTGCTTGTTACCGTTTAGAACTCTCTGTCCAGAATGTGAAAGAATAAATACACATCAAGGAAGCCCTTAGAACTTGAGTCTTCATCAAATCCACAAAAAGATCTAGCAGGAGCTCCTTCATGACAGACAAAGAAGAGAATAATGAACGGAGCAACATTGTCATTCCATATGTTGCAGGAATATCTGAAAAGCTCAGGAGGATTTTCAACCAACTCAACCTACGTGCATAATTAAAACCCTGGAATACATTAAGATAGAAGCTTTTCCACCCCAAGGACAAAACATCCAGACACAAACAGAGCAATATGGTATATGCAGTGCAATGCAGCAAGACATGTACAGACCTGTACATTGGGGAAAGCAAAACAACCACTTCACAAATGCATGGTACAACACAGGAAAACAAAGTCATCAGGACAGGATTCAGCAGTCCATTTGTTTCTGAAAGAGAAGGGTCATTCATTTGAAGACAGCAAAAGACATTCTGCACAGAGGGGACCACTGGTTTGAAAAGGGGCCAAAGAGACCCTCTATATTAAAACTGAACAGCCCTCTCTCAACACAAGGGGAGTGATACAACACTTCCTATCTCCTGTTTACAATGCAGTCCTTCCAACAGTCCTAAGTAGATTCCACACCCATTTACACTCATTCAGGTAATTCTGAAGATACAGATAAACCTCCAAGTGCCCTCAATCATCCTCAGAGAGCTAATGACCTGATGACTGCAAAGAATATAAATCCATCCATTCCCCACCATTCAGTCATAATTGAAGAAGCTTCTTGGATGAGAAGCAAAATGTTTTCAAAAGAAAAAAACCAAGAAAGCCCAGTTGTCTGTTGGAAAAAGCACCTTTGGGACAAGAATAATGATAATAGGCATATTAGCAGTACAATTATTTGTGAAGTCAGCAGTTGTCTTGCTGCAATTTTATGGTAAAGAAATAATTCAGATAAATTAGCATTGACAGCAAGGAAAAGATTATTGTCAAGCTCTCTCCTTTTCCATCCTTCTGCTCTCAAAATTGGATTTTACATATAAGTACTTGTTCCTTGGACATTATAACTTCAGTTTAAAGCGTGGGTGGTATTTTCTGCTTGGCACAGAATTGGAGGGGGCGTTTAGCCCACTTTGAATATTATTTTTGAAGATAGAAATATTTGGATTAAAAAGTGAAAGCTGACCTGATATCTTAATTTGATATATCACTTGCTTCCATTAAGGGTGATGATACCTGCGGATGTGTTCAAGAAGATTCAGAATTGGCTCCTGACAACTACTAATAGTTCTGAAAAAGAAAATGCTCAGCTTTCTCTGGAGGTATGCATGTTTATCAGGTGAAATGTTAAGAATTGCCTATTCTTGAAGGGCACGAATCATTATATAGACTGTGAGTATATATTAGGATTACAAGCCTAATTTAGTTTAAAAGGCAATAAGCAGTCTCTTTTGAAAACTGACAGTTCTGCTATGTCTTTATATTGGGAGAAAAATACCACCAAAGAGCCATGAGTTATTTTCAATACTCGCTGGAAAATAATTGCCCAGGCTTTGAAGAGTCGGTGATAGAAAGAGTAGACATGTGATAGTAGTCATGAATTAATATTTCTCATACTCTGGTGTGTTTTGACTAGAATTCTGGACTGCTTCATATCGACTATTTTTCCTAAAAGAGCATAATATTTATTTATTTATTTTTATTTTTAAATAAAAACTATAGGGCAGATAGAGATAGTAGAATACAAGAAAATCCAGGGTCCAAACCAACACAAAAAACGTATGGCAGAATCAATTTTTAAAAAAAAATTAACCAAAGTCCAGTCCAAAACTCAAGTTCACAAGGTTTATTATCAATAATAAGTTCAGGGAGTTGAGAAGTAAAGAATATCAAGAACCTGGCAGTGGCCAAATAATTTAGCTAGTCACAACTGTCTTGACTACAAGAATTGAAAATCAGGCTATCATAGAAAATCCATTTTTCCTGGTACAGGTTATTTGCTTTTCCTCCTGTTATTCCCATGGATCTGCAATTGACTATTGTAGACTAACCAAAATGTCAAAATGATGGACTACTGGAGTGCTAAAAACATTTGGTATAGTGAAGGGAAAATGAGAGAGTAAAAAAAACAGATGACAGACCATTCCATGTAAATAAAGTAAAAAAACCCATATACAATCAGAGTTTAAAAGTGGATTTTGTTGCAGGTTAAGGATAAAATAGACCCTTAATCCATGGCCTTAAGCCAAGAGGTCCCTATTTTTGTTTATGTTTTACAATGCCCAGAATGACAAGAACTTTACAAGAATTTAGACCATGGGTTACTCTTCTGCACTGCAGAACTGAAGTGCTGTTTTTTAATGAGGGACCCGGGACAAAAGTAGGCTGGCCTGAGAAGTGCTGCTGACCATATTTAAGATTCCTATTCTAGTTTGGCAGTAGGACAGAATAGAGGATCCTTCTGCACTGAAAGTCTTGGGAGGAAAGTCTTTGGTGCCAGTTAATGGCCAGAGTAGAAGCCTTGGCATCAGAGAACTGGCACCCAAGAAACCATAATCCCCTGTCTCTCCCTTCCTACTGCTTCTCCTAACACTCATGACAAGAGAAACCAGGGGGAAAGATGGCCCCCGCCCCCAAGTGCTTCTCTTGACCTGAGTCGGAGTCAAATTGGGGAGAGAAAGAGAAGCAGGGTTGGGTTTTTTTACCCTTTCCTGCAGGAGTGCAAAGCTAGTTTCCTGGGGCACACGTTGCATGCAGAGGAAATGGCAAAGAGTACCTTCCGGAAAGACTTATTTCTCCCTTTGTCTCTTCCTGCCATCCTGATGGAGGTGGGGAGAGAATATCTTTTGGTGCTGAGGCTGTTGACCTTTGTTTCCCCTCCTTCTCTTCCTATGTTTCTTGCCTATTGGGGTGGTATGAAATGATTGGCTCTCCAAGGAGACTGGCATTGAAATTCGGTGACCAAGGAGCATGTGTTGGGTGGGCATATCTTCAGCGGGTGGCTTATAGCAGCAGGGCACATCCTGCCCTGCCCCCAAAATTGCTTCAAAACACTTTGGGATGGATTGTGCGGTCAGTAGTAGTAAAAGCTTCTGAAATGGAACATGGGAAGACAGGCAGAGGCTGCCTTTATAAAAACTCAGATTAGGGTCAAAAGTTAATAGGATATCTTTGCACCAGACCAAAAAGGACATGTGAGTTAGCTGTGTCTATATTTTGCCTTGCTTATATGATCGTTAACCTCCACCACCCCCAGGGTTTGTTTATAGGAAGTAAAGCAGTGGGAATTACTCACATGTAGATGAGCATGCCAGCCTGGTGACAGTGTCATTGAATGTTTGTGTAACTTGAATCCTCATCAATTTATACTTTCGCAGTTGACTGATTTCCACAATGTTCTGAGCAAATGGATGGTCAACCTGCTGATGCACATGGTGCCAGAGCACACCTGTTCTGATACTATCCCTTTGAGTGACACTGAAGTATCAATGCAAGCAGAACGCAAGATGCTGAATATTTTGAATCTTGAAAAAGAAGTAATGGGTCTGGTTGCTCACATGAGCCAGTTTTCCTCTTATCTAGTCAGGTACTATAAATTCTCCTCAGATTTATAGCATCTACATCCATAAAGGAATAGGAGTATGAGGCCTGTGATAGATATACAGTAAGTGTGCTACACTTCTTGCTATTTTTGGCAATAATAGTACCTACCTCTCAAATCTGCCAGAAAATGAGTGTAGCTACATTATATTTTGTATAGATCAGGAGCCAGCAGTCTTTTTGTAATTTTTTTAAAATTACATTTTCAATGATCAAATTTCAGGATCTCTGGTTAGGATTTTTAACCTGTATAGAATGAGTGGTGGTACTTTTAATATTAACCCATGTGTTAGGCAAATTGTATTAGAGGTGTAACAAAATTGTTTCATTTTATGCTGAAAGTTGATGGGAAAATTTTCTTCCATGCACAATTTTAGAGATCATAAATGCACAGCCACAGTTTCCTATAGCTGATAGGACCTTTTCTGGCTCTCATTTATTGCACCATCACTTCCTACCTTAATAGTTGAGACCCAGTATAGCTAAAAGAAATCCTATTTGAATTCCATTTTTTGAATTATGCAAGATGGAAATTTTTCTTGTGCAGAACCTTCAGAGCCTTAATATAGCTCAATATCCTGATCCCTGGATCTAGACAAATTAGATTCTTCCTTAATTAGTGTGGTATTTTTATGGTGATTTAAAGCAGTCTTATAAGTTAGGTGATGTTATCCATTTCTAGTTGCTGCAAAGAAATGGTTTCAGTTACAACACGTAAGAAACTGGCTACCTCTGACCCTGATGCAGAATACGAATTGCAACAGTTAGAGAAGATCAAGGTAAAAAAAAAGAACTACCGTATGCTGTGTTTCCTTGGTTCAGTCTTATCCTTGATCTCCATGAATTTTTTAGTCCTAGAGTTCTGTATGGTTTCTCTTATATTTGTGTTTCTCCATTTTAGAAGTGATCATTAGTTCATATCTAGAAGCCTTAAGAATACTTAATTAAGTCTTTAGAAATAATTTTTTCAATAATTTTACTGAGAATTATATCAAACAAGTAGAATTAATGCAATCCATAGCAAAAATATATTGAAATAAAAATGATGTAAAATTGTTATTTTTAACGTATTTAAAAATTTAAAATTAAGAAGTACAGATAAAAAGAAAACAAAACAAAAAGGGAAACAGGAAGAAAACAGAAAAAGAAAATAATTCAGTTCACTCTTTTGATTTATTTGTGTACTGTATATCTTTTTTAAAATTTAAATCACCTTCCAATTGCATTTTTAAATCCAGTATTTCCATCTCTTTTTTGTGGGTTGTAGTTTTTAAATCTGCCATAAATTCAATGGGGTTTATTCCTCTTCAATAATACCTTTTGATCCCATTATAGTCCTAAATAACTGAAAAATCTGTTGGATCCCAAAATCAAATATCTGGTGCCATTATAGTGTCCAACCTGAATTTTTTTCAGTCAGAATGTAAACAAAAGATTTTTTTCCCGTAAAAGAGGATCATTTTAATTCATTTCAAAGTCTTTCTTTAATTTAAACTCATTTGAATCCTTTCATTTAAAATCTTTCCAGAATCAGCACTATAATCTCCCTTTTGCTATATATTGAAAAAAAAAGAAAATTCATATAAAACTTCAACCACGTAACTTCCTTTTTAAAGGATTGAAGAGACATTCACCCAGTGAATATCAAACTTGCAGTTCTGAAGGTTTTTCAACCTTTAATTAATCTTTAATTAAATCAATCTTTTTCAATCCTTAATAAGAAAAAAATAAATTACAAAGTAATTAAACTATGAGGTTTGTCAAACTATGATTTGATAAAAAAAATACTATCAGTTCTGCTATCTACTCACAAAAAACAGCACTCCCAAATATATATATGGGTATTCTCAAAACCTCTCCTTAATCCAAAGACAATTTTGACTGTTTGGATCCAGTATCCAGCTGCCTTTTCAATTATAATGTCTCCTGCAGTTCCACAGACTACAACTATTTCTTATTTATTCTCGAATTTCTAGAAACCTGACACTTAAATTAATGGGCCATCAATAAATCAATGGAGCGGATCCAATATACCATCCAGTCAGGTGCTTCATTCAAATTATACACAATAAGCAGATAAAGTGGACAAATCAAAATGGACAACACAATTTTCAACAATTAATTATTATAATTGGCAACTTCTCAGGAATTTCCTGAGGGGGATCCTGGACATCACAGAGGGAATTAGAGGGTACCAAATGGCTTTTGTTTGAATTGTCTTGAAAATCACCAAAAGATATTCTTTCTTTCTTTTTTTCAGACAGAGTGCCTGGATTGGATTGATACATGCAACCTTCTTTTATCTGGAATGAAGTATTCTCCCACCAAGTTAATTGGCCAAGAGCAGCTTATACATTACTTTGGATCAGAGGTAGTGAAATATGCAAATGAGAGAAAAAGAGTTAAATTTGCAATTTACTTTTTAATTGCAGCACTGTTATCTTTCTTTAAGATGGGATGACGATATTTTTAGCTACAAGGGTGAGAACATTTCCAAATTGGGGGCTATCAATACACCCATCCATCTTACAACATACTGTTTCTATGTTCTATACATCCACAGATACTCCTCCTTGGAGTATATATAGTTGAGTACCATCAGCAGGGAATAGCAGAATAAATATAACTATGCATGCAGTAAAACTACCCAGGAACAACTCAGTAAGAGGCACTGGTTAGGAACATTGTTTCTGAAAAGTTTTACATTAACCAAAGGATGTCCTTCAAGAACCTGAGAAGCCTAAATCTAGAAAAGTAGCAATGAGAACAAAATCTCTGAATGGATTTTCTGGTTACCAGCCTTTCTCTGCTACCTTAAGGTCTTTCAACCAAAACGAAAGCTTCCCCCTCACCCCGAGCATACCCTGGAGAGCACTTCTTCCACTCAAGTAGAAGAAACTCTTGTTGAAGTCAAGAAAGTGGAGGAAGCAGGTTCCGAGCAAAGCCCAGAAAAGGAGCCCATATTGGAAATACAGGTGACTAGCTCCACTGGAAAGTTAGCACAACTTTTTTTTAAAAAAAAGCAAAGTTCTTTTTCTTAGCCAGATTGGAATATAATTAAATAAAGAAGTAAAGTAAACACAAGATAACTTGTGTTTAATGACTTAAGGCAGTATCTGTTTTAAAATTTATCTAAAATCCATAAAAATTATCTGCTTTTCAAAGTAGATGAAATGTGCTGCTCTGCATCTCATGATGGAAGCAAAGTTATATATCTGATAAGAATTCAACGCTCAGAGAAGCTTGGGAAAACTCCGGTTCCATTGAGAGATGTAAAAGTAGTCGACACTAATAGCAGTTCTAAAACTTCATATTGCTGCTGCTGACATATGAACAAGGCTGATTGTATGTCACATAAGCATTTCCTATATGATCATTTTCCTTTAAATACAATCAGATTCTGAGATGCAGTTACATTGCCATTAATATCACCACGTTAATACTTAGCATAACTCAGTGTTCTTTCTGTGGCTAATGTAAATGTTAATTTTGATGTATTCGCAATCCAAAACTGTTGCTTGTCATTTCTTGGAGAAAACTTGCAAAGGTTTTTGAAAAGCCTAAGAGAGGGAAAGAGGTGTTTTAAATATGGTTTGGAATAGCCTTTAATAAGCAAGGCTATATATTATACAGTAAGTTGTAGCTTTATTGTGAGTATTCAAAAAAGAAAAGCCCTTTCATCAAGTATATGGGCAGAGTTCCTGCTTTAGGGGAAAAAAATCATCACTGTATTGCATTGTCATCTAGATATGATTTTTAAATGGCATAACTTGCTCAGAGTGGGAATAGTAAGTAATAGCCTAGTAAGGAGCTCTTTTTTCATAGGTGGATAATTGTTTTAAAAGGTAAATTGGTAACCTAAACAAGACTGAAAACATAAATCCCAAATCTTAGGCTACTTCTTTAGGAGCATAAATCTTTCCCCAAATTCCAGTACTTTTGATTCTCCTAAAATTATCCTAATAATCTCCTAATTATTATGATTTTTGTATACAAAATCTGACCTTCTATGAAGGGTTTGGCTTTCCAAGAAAGAGACAAATATTACACTGCCTGCTTTTTCTTTTTTTCTGGGCAGAAAAAGCCATCTCTACCTGGCACTAGCAGTGAAATTCCAGAGGAAAGCCCTGAGATTGATTATCAAATGAGATACATTGCCCACGATGCTAACGTGTATTGCAAAACCTTGACCGCCGAAAAAATTACAGTTTCAGGGGTATGTATTTATGACTCTCTGCTATGCAAGTTCTTTAAGGATATTAACATGTGAAATGAGCATCTGGATCTAACCCAATTGGAAGATTTTGTGCACAACCCCCACTGAAAGTAATGGAAACTATATGAAATCATGGTGGTGCTCTTGTGCAGCTTCTAATCCTTTTAACTGGATTTCTACATGAGAAACGACATGGAGAGCGTTAATGAGACCAGCTTCTTTAGAACTTTTCTGCCTTAGGCAACCAAATTTTTTGATCACAGGTGGACAAAAAATAGTTAACGTCGCTAGCTTCAGACTCGCTCTTTTATTTCAGTGGTCCTAACGCTCCATGTAATCTTTTTGCCAAAGCAGTATGTCACTTTCTTTTGCTTAAGTCTATTGTCATAAGGTTCTTTTGTTCTTTTAATTCTAGAGAGAATTGTATGCCAGCCAGCCAACCACCGAATTCTCTAAAAAGGAATTTCAGATATTAGCTTCATTAGAAATTCTGGAGGAAAGGCTCATGTAAGTACAAAACAGGTGATCAAGGGTGATATAGACTTGCCCAGACTTACTGTTGCCATAGAAATATTTGATAAAGCTGAGAATCAGACACTTCAAGGTTGCCCTTTTCTATATGTCTATTAATACACATTCCTTCTACGTTTCCTATTCTGCTATCACACTCTCATTGCTCTGAGAATTTACTTTTCTTGCAGATTTAAACCTGTTTGGTGATTGATATAACATCCAGCTCTGAGGTCTGTAGACTTGACAGTTGTGAATTTTCGGAGTACTAATTGTTACATAGATTTGGGATGGTAAGAATCTGAAATCTGGTATGTTTTAGGTCAGCCTTTTAGAACATAGTGAGAAGGAGCGGGGGGCGGGGGCGGGGCTGCCTTCAAGTCAGTCTGGACAAACTCCTGCAGTTTTCTTGGCAAAGTTTTTAGGAAGGGTTTTGCCTGCTTCCTAGGGCTGAGAAAAAGTGACTGGCTGAAACTCAGTCAGCTGGCTTTGTGCCTAAGACAGGACTAGAATTCACAAGTTTCCCAACTTCTAGCTTTAATCACTACAACAAACTGGTTTTCCAACATAGTGGAGATTTTCCAATATATTTTCCAACATAGTCCCTTCCTTTTTTAAAAAAATTTTTTAATATAATTTTTTATTAATAATACAAAATTAAAAACACATTGGACATAGATATGACATCACTGGTTCGATACATCTTCCAACATTTTACAATAGTATTAGTACTCATATAGACATATAGTTCTTGAACTTTGCTCACTATTTATAATATACTATTAACACTTTTCCCCTTATTTCTATATATCTATTTATCTTTTAACTATACATTTGTCTATAATCTATATTCCCTATGTATTAACATAGAATTCTAGGAGTTGAGGAAAATTTCAGAAAATGTCCTCCTGAAGTCTTTCCAAAGGTTTGTCATTGTGGCAACACAAAACTAATGGAAGGAGGATAAAGAAAAATTAATTCCAAACAATATATGTAGAAACACCAGTACTATGGAAGAGCTATAAGCTGGATGCTAATACTCTAGAGCAGGGGTGTCAAACTGCTGGCCCATGGGCCAGTTGCATCATACAGAGGCCGCGCCCACCCCAGCTCCGGCAATGCAAAAAAAAAGTTGCGATATGTCACGACAAGTCACGTGACATGGCGAGTTTGACACCTGTGCTCAAGAAGGAGATAAGAGAAAATTGATTGTAGATATTGCAACTGCACTAGATTTACACAGAAAAGGAATAGTTATAATAACTTTAAAGCTGGGGAGCAGGGCATTGTGGGCATTCCCCCCTGGAATACAATCACCCCAGTAGGCTACAAAAGAAATAGAGATTCCTGATCTGATCGTGAGTCTTGTCCATTTCCAAGATAATTTTTTTTCTTTTCTAAGAAAAATTATATGGGAAGAATGTTCATAAATCAAAATGGCTTTTGCATTACTGCATGCAATCTCTATTAGAAAGGGCCAGCCCCCAGCTGACAAAAAAGACATCTGAAAATCCTCATAATCTCTCTTGAATATTCTACAGCAGGGGTGTCAAACTCAATTTCACTGAGGGCCGCATCAGCATTGCGGTTGCCCTTGGGGGGCCGGGTGGGTGTGGCCTACTGGGTGAGTGTGGATGGAGTGGGTATGACCTACTGGGTGGCATGGCCAGCTCTACATCGGTTCGCATCAAGGGTGCCTGTGGGGGCCTGGGCAGGAGTGGGACAGATTTGAGAGTCTCTGGCAGAAGGGGGTGGGACCGGGGCAAGCGCCAAGGCATGGTCCATTTCTTTATTCCTCACAAAGGGTGACACCTCCCCAGCATGCACCCAGGGGGCGGGGCCGATGCGGCAGGGTCTGGTTCCTCGCTGTTTCCAGACGGCCTTGTGGAGCTAAGACTGAATGCATTTCAGCATAGATGGCCACCGCAAAATTGTACATTGGCTCCCGGCCGGCCTGGGCCAAGGCAGCGGGGGGCGTTCCCTCATTGTTTCCAGGATGGCTTCGTGGGCCACATGAAACCACTTCGCGGGCCGCATCCGGCCCCTGGGCCTTGTGTTTGACATGTCTGTTCCACAGCACAACTCATTGAAATAAGTTTCAATTAGATTTACATGCAAAAATGTTCTTAGAGTTTCTATAAATAAGATTAGCAATGCATGATAATCATGTACATCTTAAATCCATCTTTGCGTCTGTCAGATATAAACTGGGCTATGCAGGAGAAGGTAGGAAAATTCTACTCAGTTTATCTCTTTAAGCCATTTTTCCTCTTTGTTACTTGAAATGAGCTGGAGAGAAAGAAAACTTTTAAATAAAGTAAGGAGGGGAGGTTATGCCATTTTATCCACAATAATCTTTGTGAGAAGCAGGCTTCCATTATTCTCATCCCCACGGCAAATCCATGCTTAAGGGTATGTTCATGTCTTGTTTGGCCATTTTTCAGATAAAAAGAAATGTCTTGGACTGTCCCTGATGCCTCCCATTCTGATTGGGTATCCATTAATTTTGCCTAGTTGGTCTTTATACTTGGTATCTTAACTCCATGCTATCTTGGCTTCTTTTCTTTTAGAGATGCTGAGAAACGAGCCCAGGAGGCTGAGGAAAAATCAGAAACCCTTCATGAGGAGTTGGAGGAAGCTCTGAAAAAACTCCAGGATATAGAGGATGAGGAACCAGGGTCTAAAGATTTTGGCAAAAAAGCAGAAAAATCTGAAGGTACGATTAAAATCTCAAAGATGGGATTTTAAATTTCTAAAAGAAATACAAACCATTTAATACATTCCTCTTTTAGGCCTTCAGAACTTCTGAGGTTTGTGGTCAAATATATCTGTAAGGCACTAGCTTGGAGATGGCATAATGAGTTATTGTGATAATTTCTGGTGTATATACTTTTATGATGTATATATTGTAGAATTGGGATTGAACTGAAACAGATTGCATGAAATAGTTTTAAAAGCTAATATTAGAATATCTGGAAAATGTTTTATTTGACTCCCTCTTTTTGGATATATTACGTAGTTTGTTGAATAATGATTAGAATCACACAAATTGCAGAGCTCCGTGTCATGGCTTACAATTAAAATAACTGTCACACAACATTATGGGAAAACATTATGGGTTAGAGTGATAAGTGAATCTAGTGTCTCTATGTTCCCCATCAAATAAGGCCTCTTTGAAGGGCTGGAATAATTTTATAGGTTTAAGTAGAAAAAAACAGCAGCTACATTTCTTCCTACTTCTGTTTTTGGTTTGTCCTGGGCTTGTGCTTTTTTTTTTATTTCTCCTCCCCTCACAGCCTTAAGCTTTCAGGCAGTGTGACTGGAAGTACTACTATTCTGGGGAATAAGGCTTACTCCTAAGGAGTCGGGTGTTTTCTGTTCATCATTCATGTTTTATACCAACACCAATAACAACCACATATTCAGCAAAAACCAAAGAGGTATGTTCATTCCACAAGATGCTTTTGACCTCTCCCTCCCAAATCATGTGCTCCATTTTAGAATATCTTCAGCCCATTTCATCTGGTTATACTGTACTGTCAGACGTAACTTGTAAATGTTACCTAATATATGGAGGAAGGAATAAAGATGTACTGGTGATGCACCCCATAAAAAGCTTCAGGCAAATCACGGAGACAAAATAATATTTGAGTATATCGATATTAAATATCTAAATCAATAAAGGGCTCACAGCCACTGGCTCTTACAGTGATTTATTGGTAGTCCTTGATTTATGACCTCAATTGGGACCAGGATTTGTTGCTAAGCAAGGTGGTAGATGAGTCATGGCTGATTTTACAAACTTTTTTTGTCACATTTAAGTGAATCGATGCAGTTGTTAAATGAATCCAGCTTCTCTCATTGAATTTATTTGTGGGAAGCTGGATGGGAGGATGGAAAATTGTGATCAAAGGATCCCTGCCTCTGCCTCCTTTTTTTTCATTGACTTTTTTTTTAAAAAAACCTTTGGGGACTGTGGGTATGCCTCCCTTGCGCACTTTTATAGCTCATTAAGAGTTCTGCACAGATGGACAGCTATGGACTATCCAATCTTTCCCCCCCCCCGGCTATAAGGATTATTTAATACTTCCAATTATCTTCTATTGCAGAAACCTCTCGCAAGAAAGCATCTGATAAAACTGGTCATTCTAAACCACCCACTCCCCGACCTAAGAAATCCCCTAAACCCAAGCGCTGAAGAAGAGTGTGGCTGCAAGAAATCCTTTGGCTCCTGATTGTTGTTACAGTAATTTTGGCCACAGTGTGTGAGCACTGCCTATCCCTGAAATAAAAAATTACAATTGCAATTCTTCTGGTTGTGTTAATAAGCTATAGGGACAGGAGTTAAATGAGGATTCTAAAATTGTTTCTCATTTTTATTGTTTATTTAGAAAATCATCAACATCTAATTTAGCCTTGTTCTGTCATTTTTAGATGCAGAAACTGCAGATTGAGTTAAGAATATCTTCTGGGTAGCTTTTATTATGCCCTGTTTGCATAATATAATAGATGTTTTGTAGTATCTTATAGCATGCATAATGTGGTATCATATTTTGCATGATCTCTTTGCCTTTCTCAAAGCCTCTTGTAACAAACTGTTGAGAGTGAGGAGTATAAGCGTTGCATCCCACCAGCCTTGTCTTGGGAAGATGGCCTTGAAAAATTAGGGGAAATGAGGCTTTTTAGGAAAAGCAAAAAAGGAAAGCATTCATTCATGAGCCAGAAAACGGTCATTTCCATTCTGCCAAAGAGAAAAGTTTTATATATTTTGTTTTCAGTGATATCAAGTTTAAGTTTCTTATACTTTCAGATCCCTGAAGTATTACTTCATGGGTTTAAAAGTATTTTGATTTTTTTAACTAATTGGTGTTGCTTCGCATGTGACTAGTAACTTTGGGGCACAAAGAACACCTACAGAGTCATACATTAGTGAGTTATCTCCCGTATTAATCAATCGTAGAGTGAACATGACAAGATCCAGGCTAGCCCCAGTCATGGACAGTCAATCTTTTTCAGCCCAGCCTGACTCTAGCAAAATCATGAAAGGGAGTCCACAGATGGATCCAACCGGGTAGAAAATTTTCCTTACAAGTACAAATCCACCATTAGGGCTTGAAAAATGGAATTATATGCCAGTGGTGATAATTCCTCCCCAGTAAACTGTTAAAGCACATGGTGACTGAATGGTTGCTGGAATTGGGTATGTCTAGTTTAACGAAGAGAAGGACGAGGGGGGACATGATAGCAGTGTTCCCATATCTTAGGGGCTGCCACAAAGAAGAGGGAGTCAAGCTATTCTCCAAGGTGCCTGAAGGCAGGACAAGAAGCAACGGATGGAAACTGATCAAGGAGAGAAGCAACCTAGAACTAAGGAGAAACTTCCTGACAGTTAGAACAATTAACCAGTGGAACAACCTGCCTCCAGAAGCGGTGAATGCTCCAACACTGGAGGTTTTTAAGAAGAGACTGGACAGCCATTTGTCTGAAATGGTATAGGGTTTTCTGCCTGAGCAGGGGGTTGGACTAGATGACCTCCAAGATCCCTTCCAACTTTATTATTATTATTATTACTCTTTGGATGAAGTGGATTTCCCAGGGTCTCCTCAGTTAAAATTTAGATCTGGTCTTGCATCAAAGCATCATTTCAAAGGGATAGGGCAGGAATTCTCTTAGAACTCTCAATGGTTTTCAGTAGGTTCTTAACTTGCCAATGTACCTTCTTCCGAAGAAGTTTTTAAATCCAGTATGGGGGAAAAAAGGTTTACAGATATCCATTTTCCTTTCTAGCAGAAAGGGAGAGGCTTGGGGAAGCTTCTTTGCTTTAGTTGCGTCAACAGGCATGTACCTCTGTTTGAGATGCAAATGTTTATTCAAATATCTCAGCTGACAGTTGCTGTCTGGTGTGAGGAGCTGGCAGGCAGGCTGTGACGTTGAATATAGAGGTGGGAACTTTTCTGTCTATTCGCTGTAAGTGTGGTATCCCAAGAGTGATAAATAAATGAATGAACATGGGACTACTTTAGAAACTGACCTGAAAACTGAAAGATAGCCTGCTATTGAATGAGAAGGCTCCATTTCAGCTTAGTTGAGACACAGAAAGCCCTTTATTAATGAAACTCAATCAGGACATATTTGAAGGAAAAGAACACATGTATGGTATGTGAGCTCTTACAAGCACTTTTGGTGGGCTCTTTTCTTTTAATGCTTCTACTCCTCTCAGGAAGCAAAGCTGGAGAAATTATCACCCAGTACAGTCTATGCTGATTTTAGCTTTCTTTTTAAAGCCAAAAAGGAAATGCAGGTTTCAAATTAATTTAACTGACTGTCTCTCCCTCTCTCCAGATATATCGTCTCTAACTTTTTAAAATTAAATTAGAAAAGAAAGACTAAATCACAAAACAATGGAATCACCTGACAACCCATAGTTCTCTCATCCTCCTGATGCTGTCAAATCCAGTTGCCTCAATAAAGCAATGAAAAGATGAACAGGGATGTCCAACCTTGGCAACTTTTAAGACCTGTGGACTTCATGCTGGCTGGGATATTCTGGGAATTTAAGTTCATAAGTCTTAAAATTGCCAAGGTTGGACACCCCTTGTCTAGGATAAGCCTTGAGAAATCATTACAGTATACTAAAGAATCTCAGTATTTCCTGTTCTCTGAGCCTACTATGTAGAAGGAAACCAACTTCCTCCTTTTCTTCTTTCAGCCTGACACCTTACTAGTGAGTTCCTAAACGAGTCATCCTGAACTGAGGAATTGGTTTACTTTTTAAATTGCTTTTATTTTCCAAAGAAGAGAGAAAAAGATCCTCATTGGTATCCTAGTTTGGAGAGAAGGAAAGACTCTTGCTGGTCAGAAGGCACACTCGCCCTTCCTGTTCAGCTGTGCCATTTTACCCATCCTTTTTCTTTCCTTCCATCTCTTTCTTTTGTTAAATGAACTAAGCCAACTTCCATCACACCCAAGATAGCAAAACAAGGATAGGTGTGTTTTGTACTATGTTTTCTTATTAGTCTGATACTGTGATAACACAGAAATGAGATCAGAACACTGGATTTTGTCCTTATATTCACCTTCCTATCTTCCCTATTCTTGTTGGCGGCAAGTACCTAAATCAGTTTACACCATTTGTCCTGTTCCAATCAGGGACACCTATAGTTGGTCTGTACCTGTAAGTCAATTTCCTCTTTCCTATGTTTTTCATGGGTTTTCATTTTGAATCCAGTCTTACTCCCCCTCAATTCTTCCTATTCTTTTTTGGATGATCCCTAGCTTCCTTTTTTTCCATCTTTATTAGTTGACTCCTTACAAATGCTAACATCACAGTACTGCAATGCTTTTTCTTATTTTATATAATTCCTCTGAAGTGTGTTTGACTTGAGTTCTGCAATAAACGACTACATTTCAGATCTTTTGTGATCTTTGCAGGTAACTGAGATTTTCTGTACACAATCATGCTTTAATGTTGCAGTATCCTATAGGTATGTGTGGTTTATCAGTTTATACGTATGTAATATGCATGTATGTTTGTAAATGAGCATACTTCATAACAAGAACTCATGACATATTATGCCAATTCTACACCAGTTTTACTGGATCTTAGTTCTTTCTTGGTCCCAAATCAAAATGCTGTTGTTAATTTATCAAGACCTAGAAACTATAATGTTTGACGTAACAACTGTATTGTATATGTTATGATATTGCCCAAATGCTAAAATCATTCTTGAATACTATGTTCTGGTTGCTGTCCCACTCAAGATATGGCAGCTTGTTGTTGTTTTTTAATCACAGGAGTGTTCAATAAGTTTTTTTGAAGGAGGAGGAAGGATCAAATGAATTACAGAACCAATCAATCCAGGGTTCTTGCTTGAGGTACAAATTACTAGCTTTACATTATCATAATTTTGACATGTGAAGACCCACAGCCCTTGAGAGTTCCGTAAATATGGGAAAGGTGAGAAAAGAGAAGATAACAACCAACAGCAAGATGAATGGATGAACTCAGTTTCAACAGCAATGGATATACAGCACCATTGTGAATCTTGATAGGCCAAGTTGAGAATAGATCATGCTATGTGATTGCTAAGAATAGTTCTTAGTAATAATAATACATTTTTTAAAAAATAAGTAAATGTAGCAGATTTTACAAACATACAACTAAAATTTTTAAACTCTACGTTAAAAATGATGTACCATATATATTAGTCAAATACATAGAGTCTCAGAGGTAAATTCATAAGTCAGGATTTACAGCACCCTGTCATTTGTATCCTGAGCAAGTGAGATCTGAGTTTGATAACTTTTTATTTGATTGCTATTACTATTTGAATTTTAAACAGAAGACTTAGCTGCCAATTATGTGGTGAATTGTATCAGCGACAGCTTGAAATCATGATCCTTTGAATGCTACCATTTCTATAACATGGGAGAGTCCTTGCCCTTTGAAGTTTCTGGATTATTGTCACAACTTGAAGGGTTGTAGCCAGTGGATGTTTGATTTACTGCAACTGAAAGGCTCAGGGGATCAAAGGGTAAAGGCAGAACAATGGTTGGAGGTTTTTCAGAAGACAAGTTCTGCAGAGTGTGAAGATAACGGAGCTGGATAGCAGCTGGTGTATGGGACAATATCTCAGCTGCTATCTTCAGAGATTCAGAAGCAGCTTTTTCACCTTCAGCAGCGATCACCTACAACACAAAGGCCATTTGAGAATTGTTCTATTATTTCTATAACCATATTACCGAGATACTGCCTTTCCTTAGCCTAAATTAGAAAGAAAAAATATGCTCTACCCTCTATACTGTGTGAGATGCTGTATTACTTTGTCCAAGAATCATCTGCGATATTTAGCTTAGTCCCAATTTTGTCCAATGTTCAATAAAAATATCTTAAGAATTGTTCCTATACATAGGAATTGCCTTCAGCAATTTACAAGTTAACTTCTATTCCTGTGAATGCAGATTATTTATTGCCCTGCATATTTTTTGTTTGTTTGTTTCATAGCAAAATAAGCAAGAACTTTCTCAGGAAACCTGGTGACTAAATTCACCCAAAAAAGTAGGGAGATGAAGCAGAATGTGCAAAAGGGCAGAATGTGCTGTCTTACAAGTTATGAAAAGCTCTAAGATCCATAGTAATCTGAACTTGGAAAGTAAGCCATGAATCATGGAGACTAGTCTATGGGAGGTTACTAACAC